TTATCTTGTTTGTATAGGATTCTATTCTTAACTTTAATTGTCTTTCTGCTACTAATTATCTGTCTTAATTGTTTTTGCTTCAGGTTTAGCGGATAGTATTGATCATCTAGATACCTCACAATTTGTCTATATAGTGTTGGTTCCATCTTTAAGTGCCAGGACACTGACAACCTGGACTGTATAATATTTAATGTTGGATTTAAGTATTTCTTTCTCTTTTTGCTGTTTCTTTTGTTTTTACTAACTATTATTATTTATTCTATAGGTTATTCATTTCAGATAGATTTTAATACTGAATAAAGGTTTTGTGGCATAGAGTTTTAATTCAATTTTTCCTCAGGTGGATATGCTTATGTTATATATTTCGTCTAACTTTATTAGTATATTGTCTACTTTTTGCTCAATGTCTAATGTATGCTGATAACCGTTTTGATTTGACCAGGTTAATTCTCTACCAGATTCAAAGGTAAGTGCTTTTAATAACTCTTCATATTCAGATTCTTTTTTATTATAGTTTTCGTAATAATCATCTTTGGTTATATTCTACTAGTCCTATCCAGTTTCATGGTCATAAGTTATAGTGAAACCTGGTTTAGTCCATTCCTTATTAGAGTCTCCTTTTTTAGCTTAGTATTTGTTATACTCATCGTATTCCGCTAAGTTTATTAACCATTCTAATTCTGTTTGTTGTTTATCTTTTTCTACTAATTGTTTAAACTTTTGTTTTTCTTTCTTAGGTTCTTGTTCACGTGAAAGTCCATCAGCATTATTATAGATCCTACTAGCCCAGTGCTCTATAATATAATTATAGGGCTGGAGTCTAATAATCTACCTGGCTTGCCTTCGATTTAGCTTAGTCATATGGAGCATTTTAATATAACATAGTCTGTTACTATAATAAAAGGTTTAAACCCAAAATAGTGATGGTAGTGTTCTACAGCCTATAACACTGCTAAGCATTCCATTTCTGTGGTGGAATAATTTCTCTCCACCTTGGTTAGGCTTAGACTAGCGTAGAAGATTATGTGGTCTTTATTCTTTTCTGATTTTTGTACCAACATCGCCCCTAGTTTCATACGAGACATATCCGTATGCTAATAAAATGTCTTAGTGAAGTCTAAGTACTGGAGGACAGGTGCTAAGGTCAAGTGTCCCTTTAGTTTATTAAATGCTGTCTATTGCTCTTTTTCCCACTTATAATTTATATCTTTCTTTTATAAATTGTGTAGGGGATGGGCTATTGCAGCAAAATTTTTAATGAACTAGCAATAGTAGGATGCTAATCCTATAAAAGCCCTTAATTGCTTGATTGTTTTTGGAACTGGATAATCTTTTACTTTTTTTATTTTAGAGTCATCGGGACGGATACCGTAGCGACTAACTATGTGACCAAGGAATTGGATTTCAGGCTTGAAGAAGGTACATTTTTCTACATTAATCTTTAAGTTTGCTTCTTTTAGCTTATTGAATACCTTTTCTAGATGATCTAAATGCTCCATGAAAGTCCAGGAGTATACATTGATGTTATCAATATAAACCTCTACAAACTTGCCTACGTAATCAGCTATTACTATATCTATCAACTGCTGAAAAGTCTCCAGAGTATTACAAAGCCTAAACGGCATTACTCTGAATTTATATAATCTATTTCGGGTAATGAAAGCAGTCTTTTCCTGATTATCTGTATGTATTCTTACTTGCCAGTAACTGCTTCTTAGTTCTATACTTGAAAACTATTTTGCTTCTTTAAATTTTTCTAACAGGTCGTCGATTCTTAGTATTGGGTATGCATCCTTTTTGGTTACCGTATTTAGCTTATAGTAGTCAATGCACATATGCAGTTTACCACCTTTTTTAGGGACAATGACGACAGATGAGGTCCACAGGCTTTCAGATTTTTGTATTAGGCCTTGCTTTTCCATATTTACTAATTCTTTATCAATAAACTTTTGTTCATCCAAGGATGTTCTGTAGAAGTATTGCCTTATTGGTTTGGCACTAGCAGTATCTATTTGGTGAGTAGCTATATCAGTTTGGCTCAAACTATCTTAGTCGTTAAAGAGCTTGATCTTATTATCAAAGAATTTTCAGGCTTTTTCTTTTTCTTTTTCAGATAGGGCTTCACTTTGAATTAATCTTTCCAGTTTCTCTTTTCAGTAAGTGTTTCTTTTTCTCTTTCTTGTGTAGGAAGTTCTTCTACTATAGTTAAATATATTGCTGAGCTAACCTCATCTTTCCAAAGGTTGTCATAAATGTTAAAGTCTTCCTCCGATAATTCTAAAGTATAGTACTCCTCTGCTTTATTTAAGTCTTCGTCTTCATAGGTGAACTCGTCAAATGTGTCACCACTTTCTATGTTCCAATTATTCTCTTTATTGTATTAGTTTAGGGCTTCGTTACTAGTATGGGAAATTGGCACCTCTATAGTTTTGCCTTGGTATTTGAGAATTAGCCTTTGTTCGTCGAAATGGAGTCTTGCCTTAGCTTTTTAAAACCAATCAGTTTCCAACAACAAGGTTTCATCTGAGGACTTGATTATCTGAATGGTGCTTGGGATTATAGTATCTTGTATGGTTATTTTTAGGTCTTTTATTCTTCCTAATGCTCTAGTTTTTGTACCAGTAGCTGTAACTATGACAGTAGATGATTTTTCTAGTATTTTTAGTCTTAGCTTGTCTACCAGTTTCTTTGTCATGATACTAACGGCTGCACTGGAGTCTAATACCGCAACAACCAAGTTCCTTTTGATCCTAACATAACACCTAGTAGCTATGGTATATTTAGGCTCCTCAAATATTACATGGCTGGCTTCTTGTACTAGAGGTAGTAGTCTCCTTAGAATTTTTGCCAAGTTACGTCTTTGGTTGGGATATTGAAGCATCTGGCCTATGGTTATATAGGCCAGTGTGCTTAAAATGTCTTCGGTAATATTGTATGGGGTGAGTTTATCTATAACTAATGGCTCTCTTTTTCTTCTTAGTTGTTTTTCTAGGATGAACACATCCTCGTCTATTGCCTCTTGATCCTCCTCTAGTAGAATTAACTAGGGTTCAGGTAGTGTATTTTTATTTCTTAATCTGTTTTCCCACTTTGATTCTGGTTGTCCTTGGGTTTTCTTTCCATTACTGCCTCCCTCATAAGGGTGGTATCTTTGCTGCTGCTTATTCAGTACGTAGATCTCATCTGGTTCTACCCATAGGTCATCATCACTGTCTTGCTTATCTTTTCTTACATAGTTACTAACTCTTTTGATTTCCTCATTATTCTTTCTAGGGATCTTTTCAGACATATAATACTAGGCGATATAACCTATTTCGCGCAGTTGTAGCAAGTTATATCTTTTCTTGTTCTCTTGGGGGTCCTCTTCGGAAGGTTTCTTCTCAGGTGTTTTTTTGATCGTTATCTTCTTGGAAGTTATTGTAGCGTCTTTTGTGGTTATAGAGTTCCTTTATCCAATTAAAGTTAACAGCAGTGAAGTTTAGGGCTATTTGTTCTATCTTTTGCAACAGGTTACCTAGTTCCTCTTCTAGTTTTTTTTGTTGATTTCTTTCAGAGGTTTGTTTACTATAATATTCCTCTGCTTCTACCCTTCTGGCACTAACTATTGCTTCTTCTAGATTATTAGATTCTGATACAGCTACGAAAGTTATAGTTTTGCCTCTGAGTCTACTCAGGAATATTCAGATTACATATGCGTTAAGTAGGTCATTTTTAGGATCTACTCATCCTACTAATCTTTTAAATTTTGTGGCATAGGCATCGACTTTTTCATTTCGTTTTTGCTATAGGTTATTCAGTTCGATATGCCACTTATAGCATTTTTCTGAAGTGGTGAAAAATTCTATGAAGCATTATAGAAACTCTGTAGTTTATTCTTCTCGTCTTTCCATTTCTCTAAATTTTCTTTATTCCTTTTATGCCAATCTGCAGCCAAGTCCTTCAGATACCCAGACGCTATCTTTAGCATTTATTTTTCAGTTCAATTATTAGCGATGGCAGCACTTTCAAACAATTTTAATTACTTGATCAGGTTCTCATCGTCATGACTGTAGAATAGATCAATCTTTATATGAGTCAGTTTCTTTCTTTCTTCTGGGTCCTTCTTGTTGTTAGCAAGCATAGTTGCTACTTGAGCGAAAGAAGTAGTCAAACTGTTCAGGAGCTCTTTTAGTTAGTCTTTATTCATTTCAGGAGTTGGGATTTTATTTTTCCAGGTAAATATATAGTCCATATTGTTTATCTTTTTGAGTATTTTCTTTTTCTTTTTTTTTGAAATGTTTTTCTATTATAAAATTTCTCTTGTATCTTCTTTCTTTTTGTCTAGTCTTCAGGAAGATTTATTCTTTAAAAGCTACGTTCTTTTTTATTTATCCATTGTTTATTTATTACTTTTGTTATTTTCGCATTGGGAGGAGGGGTAGTATTGTTCTGAATTATTTGAATCTCATATTCACTACTAAATGAGAACTGGGAGTTTGATCACCAGGACTAATAAATCTTAATATTATTCAGCAACTTGACGACCTTATTGAAAGAGACATTTAGATTTGGCAAGTAGATGTCTTAAAGCTTAAGTTATCTATTCAACTAATAACAGACAGAAAATCATTTCTTTGGGGCGGGGGGAGGAGGAGGTACAATAATCATGGATTAGACTATGGATTTTATGAAGATAATTCTACTATGCCACTTAGTAGAATATCGAAGGGTAATTAAAGAATGTAGGAATTAGATAGTAGGACTTTATTATTTATTGAACAAGACCTCTAGTTTCAGAGGGCCAACACGGCTTTTATTTATAATTCAATTTACTATTTACATTTGGGAGACTACACTGTCTTTATTTACTATATTAACTATACTAATTATAATGTCTATATTCTTCATACTGACTATATCCACTTTATAGTCTTCCTAGACCAAAAGCTCCATTTAGTTCTTGTTGCCAATGTAAACTATGTAGACTATATAGACAATATTGACCACGTAGACTAGGTCACTCTAATTTAGAGTTACTGAAGTCACATGGTGCATGACTTCGCTGGGTAACAGCATAAAATGCATATATCATCAAAAATTTTTCAGTGCTGCTTTACAGCAGATTCTCAATTTTGATTGGCTAACACCATAATCTACAAAATTTTGGCTCACATTACATAAATTATGTAACTTTCAGCTGGAATTAACTTTTTTTTATTCAAAAATAGAAATTTTGAGAAACTAGGCCTGCTCTATACAAAATTAACTCAGACATAATTTTTACTTAATGCGTAACAATTTTGATAGTCAGCTAGGTATATAGGAAATATTTTAAGATATTTTATCATAAAAATATTAGTAAAATTATTTATATTTAAAATTGTATTTATTACTTGTAGTCTTATTTAGATTTTATATATAAATATAAATAATATCAAGCCCATATTATGTAAGCTGACCAGAATTATGCTAGCTAGCACAAGTTATAAAAATTACATTACGTAGTCTCTCAAAAATTCTGTGCAGGCTGCGCAGCCTGCGCAGTAAAATAATGCACAGCCTGCGCAGTACCCATCCCTACTTATATGTAATCTAATACCATAGTTACAACTTAATAGCTAATATACCCCGTAACTTGTTGGTATTGCAAGAACAGATTATCGAGAGAGCCCAACAAGAAGTTTTCTGCTGCGAATTAATAAAAGAATTCAGAATCGACTCTGGAATAGAAAAAAAGATTATTAGTACTAAATATGCTCACCAATTCTTAACCTAGAACATTTAACGAATCCACAACCTGGAAATGAACCAGCCTAACTCTAAATCTGATAGTAAATGGAATCCAGTCTAGGTTGTCAGTGTCCTAGCATTAACCTCTAGAGAAAGAGAATTAAAAGTTTGAATTAGCAGAAATCAAAAAAAAAAAAAATTATATAAAAAAAAAAAAAAAAAAAAAAAATTTAAACTCATAGAAGTCAAGTGAAGGTTGGCATTATATACTGCACCAAGTCATATCTTATCCTCGTGATAAGAAAGAATCTCATTACTTAAGATAGGAAACGCTAAAAATAGTGGTAAACTACAAGATTCTTAGGCCATAGGATTATTCATGTATTAACTTTTAGTGTAGAAATAAGACCAAAATGAAGAATTTTGGATGGAAATAAGGAAGGAAACGTCTACATTAGCTGCTGGATAAGTCTTGAGAGAAGCCCCAGGGTAATGTCAAAGTGTATCCTATCTGAGTTTGAAACCTACAATAGAAGAAATGAAATATGAACTCCAAGAACCTAAGGATTTATATGCGTGGAATGCATAAATTAATGAGAGGAGAATTGTAAAGGGTTGATTTGACTCTCCGGAAATACTGCACTCCGACGTGGTACAATGTCCTATTTTTAGTTTATAGATTCTTGTTAAGCCTGTTTATAGTACCAACATGTATAATTAGTATATTAGTGTCAATCCTTGCCTTTATTTAGTTAAATTGGTATGCTGAGATGGTGGATTTATCTAATTTATCGAATTAATCGGCATTAGGTAGATAGTAATCCAGTCTACTATTTGAGGAAAATCCGATTTAATTGATATCTTAGCGAAATCAATTAAATCCCAAATGTATTTACTAACAAAATAAAAAGTATAAATACGATACCTTTTTCCTTCAAATAAAAATAACTTTGGAAAGTCCAACTTTTGAGTTCAATAACTTTTGCAGAGTTGAAATAAGACTCAAATAAGTTCAGTGTTTGAAAAGACCAACTTCGAAATTCGAGTAGAAGTTCGGTAGTATAAAAAGTTTACCATTGTTAGAATAACCTTATAGTTAAACCCCGATCCCGATATAATCAAATACATATCAGTTTAAGGAAAACAATAATCAATCGCCCCTTAAATAGTCTCATTGATAAACTCATCGATATAAGGGCTCCCATTGTTAAACTATCGGCCCAATCACAAACAGAAGCCTAAATCACGTGTCGTGAAAACATTCCAAAATATAAGAATCGAACCCAGGAACAAGAACCAAGAACATCAAACACCTACCTTAAAGTACCTCTATAAACTACAGGTTAATCCACAAGATCCCTAAGACCCGGACCAAATCTTCCACGCTGTCTTTCAGCCTGCCAATTTAGGGTTGATTGTTGGATTTGTAGTGTTTGTTTGTTGATTCACGAACCTTGGTGTGACCTAGCCTCCGGTCGAGTTCCGTCCCAGAACCGGTTCACACCTTCTCAACATGCACTATTAGGAAATTAATCGTAAGTACGTACGTATAAGTATTTACTGGTTTTTTTTTCGTGTTTTTAATTCCATTAAATAACTTAATAGATCATCTTAATACGCACCATTTGAAGGGTATTAAGTAATTAATCATCAAGTATCTAGGTATAAATTTAATTCTACTGAATAACGTCAACAAATCATCTTTTCATACCTGATAATTATTCATCATTAAAAGTAATTAATTGATTGCAAGCATATGGAGGTAACGTTAACAGATCATCTTTATACTCACTATTAATTGTAAATATCTAATAGGTATTTATTTTCGTAATTTTAATTCCACTGATTAACATTAATAGACTATCTTCATACTCACTTTAAATATGAGTTACATGATTATTACACATATACATGCCAACTTTCAATGTTGTGAATTCAGGAAGACCAGAACTAATCAATCTTATATCATCAGGATTGTCCAGAAAGAACGATGAAATTCTATAACTACAGAGATGAACCTTTTGATATACGTAATTTGTAATTATTTAATTATTTATATACTTATATATAATATGTTATTATTTTAAGGTTACGTTATCATTATTAAAATCATCAAATGAACAATTTAAGGTTGAAAATGTTAAGCTTAAATGAAGGATACCATAATTCTTAAAAGACCATGATGAGGTAATAAAATCAACATGGCCTTCCGAATTTGAATTAAATCTTTATTTAATATCAGCGTAAGTTATAGTTTACTTTATAATATTTACTTTTATAATATTTATTTTATATAATTGTTACTTTATAATATTTACTTTATAATATTACATGTTTATTTTTATTTAATTTTTTACAGAATTGATCTCGATAATCAAAATGGAAGAGGGTGTCTTTTTGATTAAAAAAGCAAGAAAAGCATTAAAGCTAGTATTAATTTAATGTTAAAGCTTGCTTAAATAATAACATTCATTGGAAATTAAATGTGTAATTTTTAAATGATCAACATCTATAAGTTTTTACTGTTGAAACCGGTTAACGCGGCGAGTCAGTCGCTTAATAATCCAAGTATTCGTGTGACCTACGGCCGGCTTAGTCGAAAAGAGGGCGTGTTAGATTTGGCGAGTTGGTTGGTTCCGTAGGTAGGTCTTTCTCCTATCTGAGTAATTCTAAGATTTCTTTAACTTCAGCTATACCACACTACTTCGGGCAAGCTGGACAAATCAACCACAGTTGTGCCAAGTACGTTAGGATAACAACTGGACGAGGTATCGAATTTGCCGAGGGGTCACGTGAATAATGGTTTAGAGAGAGAGAGACAAAGTTTATCACTATGCCACTTAGTAACAAACTCGGGCTAGGTGTTTGGGATAGTTTAATTTAGCGACGTTATTTTATTTGTGATTTATTTGTTTTAAGTAATGGGTCAGGTAATTATTTATTCAAGCGAAGTTGGAAACTTCCCCCTCAACTAGAGCCATTTCGGCCTTTATTTATAATATTATTTTGGCCTCCCTACGAGTGCCTTATTACATTTATTATTTAATAAAACCCTATATCTCTAATATCTTTAATGATGTTTAATAAAACCTTATACCTGACATATAACCCCTTTGATCCGATTTCTGTTATTTGAGATCCGATCATCCTTTCCGGTGATAATATGCATATTTTGCAGATTTTGAATTTTTAAACGTGATTAGTATCACGTTTCCGAGCTCCGTGTTTATTCTTCGGGCTCACACTTGCGCTAGCTGATCTATATATTTTTTTCTTGAAACTTTTACAATAAGTACTATGATAGGTCAACTAAGAAAAAAAATATAAATGTAACTAGAATGATAGAATTATTGATGTCATTAGCCGTAATGTCATGCTATAATGTTTTCTGAAATAATTTAAATGCCACCCCCAAGGAATAAGACGCAGAATTCTTCAAAAACGAAACCAATTGCAAAAATTGACCTTAATTACCACATAATGACAAAGAATCCTAAAGTATTCAAAATTGTTATCGGAAGGTAGATAATTAATAAAGGAACTTTAAAGACAAGGGAATTATCGGAATAAAAAAAAAAAATCGGAAATAGTAGGCACAATAAAGACCAAATTAGAACAGAAAGCACAGAAACTTTAAGAAATAACGCAGGATCACTCAGAAATTATCTTATTAATCAAAATCCTAATCACACACTGAATTTAATCTAAATTTAGATCAAAATTTATTAAACTGGTAGCGGCACTCAAAATAATGAAATTTAATGATTTATAAAAACTATTATATTTGAGCAATAACATTTCATAGAAGATATAATTCGCTTTTTTTCATACATCATTATCTCTGGATCCAAAATTTTGTTATCTATAGCTTCCTCAATAATTCGACAGAGTAGTTCCATATTGAATAAAATAGCATCTAAAGAAATGTTTATAAATCTGGTTTCACATAAGGATGATAAAGCTCCAACAATACAGCTTTATAAAATTTTTTCGTTAATATTTGGAATAATTGGAATATTTTTAGGAATATTTATTATCCAAGTAAGAACAAATAATTATCGAAATATATAACATTTTAAAAATTTATACGTATCTAAAAATACATATATAATTTGATAAAAATTTAATAGAATCAATTTGAACAAGAAATTTCTCAAAATAATAAGAAATTTATTTTTAATAATATCATAAGAAGTTCTGGTTCAGAACAACTTTTATCACTTGAAATTCCAGGTATTCATTTAATTATTTTACTAAAATATTTTGTTTTATTTTTTTTTTTGATTAGTTGACTTTCTTTTTTTTTTTTTTTTTTATTTAGAAACCAATGAAATGAGTAATTATCGAGTCGTTATTCGTGATCTCAGTGTAATTATTGCAAAAAGTGATACTATGATTAAGAATGGAAAGCGAATTTCAGAAGTACTATTTGATTTGGATAAAAAAATACAAATTGTAGATGACGAGCTTAATGAATTTCGCCATCAATCGGATAATTTCTTTATGACTCTTTCTAACGAAATGAAGGCAATTACTGAAGAAATTGAACCTCGGTTGTTCGAAAGGTTTTTCTATAAATCAAATAGGCAATTACCAAATAGTTCAGTAAACTTTATTTTTAAACGCCTTGAAGTGTTAGATAGAAAGATACCAGGAATTCTGGAACAAGTTAAACGTATCCTTGATGCGATTTATTCTGTCCATAATGGTACCGATAATGCACAAGGGTGTCTGATTGATGGAGAGCGCGAGGCCGAGCAAGCCTTAAAAGAACATTGGTTAGGTAATATTGTGGATTCTATGGTTCGTAAGCGAGCAGAGGATGAACTTAAACGAGTACGAATTATAATAAAAATTCTTAAGTCGATAGCACCGAATCTTATCAATTTCCAAACCTTTTTAAAACAATATCGTCGAAATATACAAGATGTCGTCAAAGAAGTTAAGGGCATTCCCAAAAAACCAACCAAAGAAGATATCAAGTATTTGAAAAAAATGGTCGAAAATCTTGAAGAAAAACATGCAATATTATCTTCTGCAAAGAATCAATGTATATATAAGTCCATGGATGCTTACAATGAAATATATCTCGAAGAAGAATTGATTCTTGAAGAACAAGAAAAAAAATTCTCTTATGAGGTTAAAGAATCAGGATATAAGCCTGTGCCGACCGTGGATACATCTAATAAGAATGCAACATTTTGGGATATATTCACATTACCTTTTTCAATTTTCCTGAGATTCTGTAAGTCTCAAGAAAACGATCGTTCTATATGGGCATTACCTTGCTCACTTTTGCTGAGATTCTGGGAGTTTTTATTATATTGTTTCAATATATATATTGAAGCAATTGTTGGTACAAACTAAGGGCACTTATTGGTCGTATTTACAAGAGATAATGTGTCATTTATTTTGTTAAATATATAGTAATAAATAGATTATCGTTTTTTTCAAGGCTTTATTTACTTATATATCTTTTTAAAGTTGATAGTTATAAAACAAACATTTACTGTAGGTCTTTGCAATAATTACTATCTTGTTTCGTTTTCTTATTATATAACGCACCTATCGCTATGGTGTTTTACTATATGGGGTCCTTGCCTTGAAAATGACCTTACGGGACATAGTAAATAATATGTTCAAACTTGATTTTCAAGACAAAGATTTTTGAGACGTAGAACATTTTTTTTACTTAGGAATAGATATAAGTTTTTGAGATAATACATCATAGGTGCAAATATCATCAGTGAGTATTATTAAAGCGAAAAAAAATAATAAAACTTGTTTTTTAACAGTATAAAAAAGAACTCTAATATTCTTAGAGTAATGAAGATTAACTTGCCGAAATATTTTTGCAATTTCACATTAAAAATTACATCGGAATATACGAAGTTGTTGCCAAGTACTTAATAAAACTTATCAGTTATCGTTATTTATAAAAAAGTTAACATTAATCTGCTAGATTTAAATGAAAATTCGATACTCACTAATCTAGTGATCTAATGTACCGTAAATTTAAAAATTAACATTATTCTTTCGTTATAAGGTATTTCGTTGACTATTTTAAATAAACATTGTGAAGGATTAAAATCTAATCTATTCTATTTACCGATACGTAATTACATTTCTGCGATAGTATTTTGTAATTTGTAAATCTGATACTTTCCAAGTAAAATAACCTGTTTCAATATAATATCATTGATTTATTTATATTAAAACAAATAACGATAATACATATTTTTTTAAAGTTACATACAAATGATTCAATTTTTGTGTAAACAGAAAATATTTGGATTTATACAAATACGTACGTATAATACGGGAAATTTTTATACAGGGGCTGTGTCGTGGCAGTGCTTACAATGAGTAAAATGATCTTAATTAGATGATAATTTATTGATAATTACCTGTTATATGAACACATGTTTATTAAGTAAAATTAAGAATATCAAGAAAAAAAATTATAAAAGTTTAACCGAAATATTTTTCTAAAATTTAAAAATTAATTAATATTAGTGCAATTTTTATATATTATGATGGACTCAATTTATTCAGACGAAATGAACGAAAAGGAAAAAATTTTATTAAAAAAGATCGATTGGAGAATTGTTCCATTAATGTTTTTACTTTACTTGTTAAGCTTTCTAGATAGGTATAAGAAATAATTTCTTGATCATTTAATATTTGGATATAATTAAAATTATTTATTTTCTTTTAATGAAGGGTAAATATTGGAAATGCAAAGTTGGCTCATTTAGAACGTGATCTTGGATTAGTTGGAAATGATTATAATTGGAGTTTAGGCATTTTTTTTATGTAAGCTTTTTTATTAATTTAAATAAGATATTTTTATAGAATAAATTCTTTTTAAGAATAAATTCTATTATGTTCACCATTTGTTTTTATAGAGGTTATGTTTTATTTGAAATACCATCAAATTTAATATTATTTAAAGTTAGACCTTCGATATGGAGTAAGTTTTAACTTTAATAATGATAATTTATCTGATTTTTTAAAAATAGCATTTTATTTATTTTCTCTATCTTATATATGTTGCTAATAGTACCATCAACTATGGTTGCCTGGGGAATAACTATGTCTCTTATGGCTTTTGTAAGTAATTGAATTAAAACTTTAATAATATTTAATTTTAAAATAACGCAAATTAATATCATATTTATTTAAAGGTAAATTCATATTCAACTCTTATGATAACACGCTTTTTTCTAGGAGTTTTCGAAGCAGGTTTAGTTCCTGGTATGGTCTATTATATAACTTTATGGTATAAAAGATATGAACAAAGTTTTAGAATTGGAACAATTTTATCTGGTGCATCAATTGCTGGAGCTTTTAGTGGATTATTAGCTTATGCAATTGTAAACTTTGCTAATGAAAATTCTAAATTAAAAGGATGGCAATTGGTATGTAAAACATATCAATTTAAATTATATAATTGTCATATATCATAATCATTTATTTGTCTAATATATTTAATTCGTTTTAATGTAAAAGGTTTTTTTAATTGATGGTTTGGTTACTGTTATAGTTGCTTTTGTTGCATATTTCTGTGTAGAAGATTATCCAGAAGAAGCCGAATGGCTTAGCAATGAAGAGCGGGAATTGGCTATTTCAAGGTTGAGAAAAGATATTGATGATATAGATGATATTAAAATTAGGTCACATTCATTTGAAAAAGTTTATGTCCTGGAATGTTTGAAGGATTGGGTATGATTAAATATATTAATATTTATTTTTATTTGAAATTATTTTGTCAATTTTTTTCATTATAGTTTCTTTTTTTATTCAGAAAGTGTATACTTCAATGCTCATTTTATTAGGATTTAGTACCTCAATTTATTCATTTTCATTTTATATTCCTTCAATCGTCAATGGACTCGGTTTCAATGAAGGCAAGCAATATAAAATGATTATGTGTCAAAAATTTTACATTATTTATTATTTCTAATTTGTTATAAATATTATACATTAAAGTTATATCTCAATTATTGGTGGCTCCGCCTTTTTTGATTGGCGGCATTACAGTAATAGTAGTATCAAAAATATCTGATCAAAAGAATCTTCGTGGTCCTTTTATAATATCATTTGCTTCAATCGGAGTCGTGGGATATATAGTTCTCTTGTATTCTGCAGATATAAATTCTCTGCTTGGTTAATATTTCAATTTTCTTATAATTATCTTTTTGTTTTTTTTTTTAATTCTCATTTAATTTTTTCGTTAAAATAGTTAAATACTTGGCAACTTGGATTGTAGCAATAGGCGTATCCCCATGTTGTGTTCTTTGTATTGTATGGTAGATATAAAGTTAAATAATTTAATGTCATTCAATAATTCAATTTTATACTAAATAATTTTTTTTCAATTTTTTTTTTAATTAAAAAAGGCTATCAAATAATCTGGCACCATCACTAAAGTGTAACGTAGGTGTTGCAATGATGCTAAGTTCTGGTAACGCTGGTGGTATAATTGCTGCTCAAATATATCGTTCTAAAGATTACCCTCATTACGTCCCTGGTCATATTATTTCATCCGGTTTTTTATTAGCTTCTATTTGTTTATGTGTAATCCAGTATGGAGCTTTAGTTCGTCTTAATGAGATGAAGAGAAAGAAAAGAAATCAAATTAAAAGTTCGGGTGATGAAAAGATTGGTGATGAATGGAAATTAGGGGATAAACATTATAGATTTATTTATAGTTTGTAAATTATAAAATATGGTGTTTTTTTTTTTTTTGAATAGGGTAAGAAGTGTAGCCTATAATATACAATGAAAATTAAAATTTTACATCATTTTTAATTGCATTAATACTAAATACAATAATACGATAATAAAATTTAAATTAACTATTTAATAATGTAAACGTAAAGGCATCATTCAAAGCAATTAGATATTAATGAATGAAATATTGAATGTAGTCTCATTTGACAATAACATTATTTTAATTTCTTTTATTCTAATCAAAGATTATTCATTTATATATGTCGTACCTGAGATTTAAATTGTCGTGGGTTTAAAATCGAGTTGCGTTGAATAATAATTTAACTTTGAGATGCGTTCAGATAAATTAATGATTTGTAAGCGTCAAATTAAAATGAAATTACGCATAACAACACGTTAAATAGGTTTGTTAATTAATAAAAAATTTAATTTTTGTATTACGGTAAATTAAAATTATGGATTATTCATTCATTTCGCGACAAATATTGATACTGAATAAGAGATACAAAGCACTAATCAATCAAGAAAATTATAAAAAATAAGTTCTTGACTTTACAAGTATTAAATTATATACTAAGGGTTGGGTCCCATGGCTTAGTTGGTTAAGTCCTCAACTCTCCACAGACAAGGTCAACAGTTCAAGTCCGGTTGGAGGCATTTGCTTCTGTAATTCTTATGAAAACCATTAATCGAATGCAAAGCTCTGTGGTAAAACCCATGTGAAGTACAAGATTCTAGAAAAGGAATTCCCAGAAGGAGATCGATATTATAGAGCAAGT